TGGGTCCTTTATAGGGATTGATCAGAAGAGTTTCTGATCAATCCCAACTCTTCATTGGATTGTGATTCAATCATTGAATCTAATATGGACTCTGATTAAATCCCCATTCATGGTAGGATTCTTCAAGTTTCAGCCAAAAAAAGAAAAAAAATAAAAATGTTAATAGATAGTTTAAAAAAATAATCAAATAAATAATAATATTAACAGATAACTAAAAATAAATAATAGATAAATTATAATATATAATCAGATAAACATATATATAAAAATATTAACAGAAAAAAAAGAAAAAGAAATAAAATAGTAATAATAATAAAGGTATATATATTAATAAATAGTAATAATAAATAAATAAATAATAAATACATAAGATAATCATAAAAGAAAAAAATATATAAAATAATAATAAAATAATAATAAAAATACAAAATACAAAATAAAAAATAAAATGGACTTACTCATTTGGACCATGCCCAATTGATCGGACTTGGACCAAATTGAGTGTCTACAAATCATAATATATATATATATATATATATTTAAGTTCTCAATTTTGACATTTAATAAAATGGGGTTTCAGATTAAACATTATGGTAAAGGATTTAATACAAAAGCAAAAGGCTTACAAGACAAGGGAATAAACCCATATTAAAAAGACTTAGCCCAATAGACAAACTCTCTAACTAAAGCATAAACCGGAATAGAAGCATCCTTGCAATGATTTGATACTCAACCTCCAAACGAGAACCCCATTAACACCAATATATAAAACAACCCTAATGTGTTAGGATGGAAAATTTTGAAAATTTAAAAAAATTTTAGAATGTTAGCATTTTGAAATGCATTCATTTAAAATAATATAATTTGTAATTATATTATTTGGATAATTATATTTTAGAAAAAAATTTTAAATATTGGAATTTGATAAGATAAAAGAAATTACGTCATAACATATAGATTTGTGGATCTATTGCTAGACACAATCTAAAGAGTCACCACCAATATTTTATCTAGGTATGATTGGTCATTTAATGAATTTATCTTTTTAAGGAGCTCTTAAGCTTGACTAAAGATCCTTAAAGAATAAATTCTAGTCTACTAATTAAAACATAGTTTGGAAATTCAATTACATATAGAGAAGGTTATAATATCCCCACATGCTCATATAAAGGATAGTACCATTTTATATTAAACTATCATAAAGTTTACAATTTTAATGGTCTTAATTTTGATATTTAAATATTGGAAATAATTCTTAAAATTTTTTCATCAATTTGGTATAATTTTTGAAAATATTTTCTCACCTCAAGAGTATTCAAAAATCTCATTTGCTTTCTTAAAGAGATTTCATCATTGGAAAGGTTAATCAATTTTTTATTTGAAATACATATAATTTTTTAACCATTTGGGCTTAAATTAGAGAAATTTTCTCACCTAAAAATCTCTTAGATAATCATCTATTTACGATTATTAAGAATTTCATCATCATAATTTATTTTTTATTTTTATTTTTATTTCTTAATTTTTCACCGTTTGGGTTTATTTAGAATTTAAAGTCTTATTAGTTTCTTAATTTTTGGAAAAAAAAATAATATGATGATTATTTTCTGAAGTCTCATTTAAATTTTTTCACCATTTGGAATGTATTTAGAAAAAATCTTTCACCTAAAAATCTTATGAAAATTCAACAATTTGTAATTTTTTAAATAAATCATCATTGGAAAATTGTCAAATATTTTCACTCAAAATTTTAAGTTATATTTTTAATTTTTAATTTTTTTATTTAAAAAAGAATACAATTACTTTTATCGAAATTTTATCTGAATTATTCCACTATTTTGGTCAAATCTAGAGATTCCACACTTAAAGATTTCTTAGAAAATTTACCATTTGAAATCTTTAAGAATTTCATCCTTGGGTAATTATTAATTCAATCCTAAATTTTTATTAAATTTTTATTTTTTATTTTTTTTAAAAAATTATAAATAATATTAATTATTATTATTGAATTTTTATCTAAATTTTCCTCCATTTGGGTTAAATTGAGAAAAAATTTCTCACTTAAAAATTTTATAGAAATTAACCATTTGCAATTTCTAAAAAATTTCATCATTTGATAATTAGTATTAATTCTCAAAATTTTATCTAAAAATTTATATTTTATATTTTAAAATTTCCCTAAAATTTCCTAAAAATTAAACCATGCAAAAATATTTCAAAAAAATAAATGAATGATAAAATAAATAAATGAAAACCATAAAAATAATAAATGAAACAAATACAAAAATTAATAGGTTCGACTTAGCTGGTTTGTTTGGCACCCCTACAGAAAAACGGGTCCAGCTAGGTTGGTTCACTGACTCAGCTCAACTTGGCTGGAGCTAAGGAGGTTGGGGGCAAGTCACTTTATGGGTTTGCAAGTTGTGGCACTTGGATCGGGTTAACTTGAATGAAAACTTGCGAGTCCTTAAACCTTTTTTAATATTCAAAACAACACCGTTTTTAATAAGTATAAAAAGCTAAAAATTCTTTTTTTTCTTTAGATCTCCCTAGCTCTTTCTTTTTCCTCCTGTTTTTTCTTCTGTTCTATCTCTTTAAAACTAGATGAACTCCTGTTAAATATACGCTGGATTCTGAAAAATAGCATCGAAAAATTCCACAGATTCTCAAAATTTCTAGAATTTTTTAGAAACTTATAAAACTCCTTAAAAATCACCAATTGGACCTTAGAAAGGCCAAATCAAACTTTTTCAAAACTAAAACAAAACTTGTACCTAAAACTTTTCTAAAAAACTAAAATTTGGACTTGACTGCTTTCTTTATTTTTGCCTTTGATTTTGGCGTGTCATTTCTTGTGTCAATTAGAATCTATTTATAGATGAAAACCTTAGTCCAAACGGTTCTTCAAGTCAGATTAAACTTCTGATAGTTGGATTGAGACTAAATTCTATTATTTTTTAGAAAACCTTTTATCCAACCGATTAAATCCTTCCCTAACTAAGTTTCTACCATTTCTACTTTTTTTTTTAAATAGATAATAATAAGATAAGTTAATCCTAAAAATAATAAACAAAGATAATTACTTAAAAGAATATATTAAAAACAAATGAAAGAAAAAAATACATAAGATAAATACAATAATAATAATAATAATAATAATAATAATAATAATAATAATAATTGCATTGAGCTTGATTTGAGGTTTGATCAAATTAGATCCAGTTGGTTTGGGTCTAATTGGTTTGGGCCCAATTAAGTCGGGCCCAAATCAAATAGGGTATTTACAAATTATAATAAATACATAATGATATTAGAGATAGAAAAGAAAAGTATTAAAAAATATATGTAATATGAGCATCATTAGATTTGTAAAAATATTTAGATATTTATAACAATATAGAAACTTCTAAAAATTAAAATGAGTTCTTGTTGTTAAAATTGAAAAAACCAAAGTTGCGTAAATAAAAAAACATAGAAAACGTTATCTTTTTAATTACTATAAAATCAAATAATTTCACAAATTCCATCTCTTTAGGTGAAATTTGAAAAGAAAATTTGAATCCTTCAAAATTCTTCATTCAAATTCTAAAAATTTTGATAATTCCCAATTTTATTTTTCCAAGCAAAATATTTTAATTTTAAAATTTAAAAAATCTCTTAACAAATGAAATCCCTTCTTAAAATTCCTCATCCAAGTGTACCATCAGAGTGACAAATCTCAAACACTGCAAGAGCACACAAGTCATAGTATTATGTTAAGTTTCATATGTTATTGCAAGTAATTTGCTATGAAAAATGTAGCACTTTACATTATAGGGAAGCTCTATTTACTTCATGCATAGACATGTGTATGTGTATGAGTGTGTATTGTATAAAAAATAATAAAAAATTGAAATTATTAACTCTTGAATACTATAATATGATTTTTTTGGTACTTTCTACAAAATAATTAATAACTGATTTTTTTTGTTACCAAGTAAGTAAGGTGATTTATGATCTCCAAAATTATTAATTACTAACCAAAAATTTATCTAAAGATCTTTCATTGTATAAACATAATAATAAAAAAAAAATATGGTTATAAAATATAAACATATCATGTGATGTTTCAAAAAAAGAACATATAATCGGAAATAATATGATATTTTATCATTTCTTACCCTTTCCCCCTCTATAATCAAATAAAATTGGTATCATGCCTTTTCTTTTTTGTGGGAGAAACTTAAATGAAAATTTTTAAGTGAAATTTGTGAGTTTTTTTTTTTATATAAAAAATGATCAAATAAAAATTAAATTTAAAATTGATAAATTAAAAGATTTTGTTAAATAAATGAAGTATACAAAATTTCAAGTAATTTGAATATGTTTGATACTTTATTTAAATAGAAAATTTTCATTAAAAATTCTAACTAAGTTTTCACAGTTCAATGAACATCTATCAAATTTTGTGATTATATGTTGTTTTTAATTGAATTTATTCTTATTATTGTTTTTTTTTCATTGAATTTTATCAATTTATTAGTTTTAATTTTCAAATTTAATTTTTATTTGATCATTTTTAATAAAAAAAATTTACCCAAAAATTCCTCCTAAATCTTTTCCATTTTGTACCCAAATAAAAAGAACATTCCCCTTTTTTCCTTTACTTCTTCTTTCTCTTCATTTCCTCTCCTTTAATTCTCCTAAATAAAGCATAAATCCATCATATAGTGATGGAGGCAACCATCTATCCCTGTTTACTATAACCCGTTTATATCTTCTTTGGACTTCTGTTACTACTTTGGCCAGCATGTAATATTCTACTGAATGCAGAGAGCCTTTCTGCACTTAGTTTTTTTTTTTCCCTTGCAGGAGGATTCGTGCCTTGTTAGCAAATTTTGATGAATTAGGGAACACTATTCGATAAACTCCATCTAAAAGTTTCTATTTATATGCTGCCATTGATGTTTAGATTTGTCATCCTGACTTCCTTAATTCCCTGGCCTTTTTTATGCATGCAGCATGGCTAAGACAATTGAGAGATACCACTGGTGCAGCTATGGAGCATTGGAACCTGGTCAAACAGAAAATGACACACAGGTGCGTTAATCTCTTCTGTTCAGCCTAGGCTTCCGGGACTCATAATTCATTCATTGGCACCATGCAGGAAAGAAACTTTAAATCCGGGCATTAAGTGCTCAGATTCTAAAGAAAAACCCAACTAGAAGAATAAAAACAAAATTTCTCCAATGCAACTGTTTTTCCCATTTTTTGGTACATAGCGGCTACGGCAGGGAAATAGGAGATTAGGTTGTAGGCATTGGGTTTCGAATTCCAGACCTTTTTTTTTTTTTTTTAAATCTTTGATCGACTAAAATTTCTCACTTGTTATGTGAATCAAGTTTGACAAAATCTAAAAGTGCTGCATGTCATCAAGCAGAGCAAATACCAGGAATATTTGAAGCTCAAAGCAAAAGTTGAGGTCCTTCAACATTCACAGAGGTAATATAACCAACAAAACACACAGTTTTAAACTGTCTCCCAATAATTTATCTATAAAATAAGTTGCTTGTTCAAGTGTAGATAGTTGTCTGAATCTTATGGAGCCTATGTGGAGAGAGTAGACTTGATTCTTGTGAATATATATACTGTGTATTTTGTAGACATTTTCTTGGGGAAGATATAGGAGACTTGGGCTCGAAGGAACTGGAGCAGCTTGAGCATCAGTTGGACTTCTCATTGAAGCAAATCAGGTCATCAAAGGTATTCAAAATTAACTTCTTCTGTCATTGTTATTAATAGTTTCAATGCTTCTTGTTGCTCTCAGTTAGGTGATTTTATACAACCAAATTAAATTCAGGCAATGAACTTTCTAAGAAGCTATAACCCTATGGGACAATGGATTATATAATTGAATTAATCACTTTTCATTCTCAGTTAGAAATGAATGAGTGTTTTTGTTGCTCCCCCTCCCATTTTCTTGCCCTTCTTTTTGGGAACAGTTGGGGATGAGATTGTGGAAGTTGGAAATAATGCTTTCTTCATTAGCAACAAAAGCCAAATAAGATTAAATATGTACTTCATCTATTATCCATCATACGGCTCACAATTTACATGAGAAACTATTTGCAAATTTACCATGTCAATCATGTTTCTAAATGAAGCACTAGGGATTGGAAATTCAGGGTTCTGGTTTTATAAACTTGTCCATTTCATTTCCTTTTAAACCATGAGAGACAAGACTAGTTAACAAGACAAGACATGACATTAGGTGTCATTTATTTGCAATTCAGCTTTAATTTTAATAACAGGCAACATTTTTGCAAGGGTAGTGAACGTGGGGTTAGTACTTCATAGAAGCACTTCTTTTTGGCATTTATTACCTAATAAAAAGGCGTTGTTCATGTTTCATGCTTGTTCACCTATGCATCAATATGCTGAAAACATGGTTCATGGTTCCAGTTTTCTTCAATGGCCTAATTGCGGAAGAGAAATTTATAATTATGCAAAACCACAGGGATCACAGTATATCATATTCAGTTTTCATGAAACAACCAAAACTGCTTCAAGTATTCAATCTATCTCTTGCTGAAATTTATTCTTTTTAATGTATGCAGATGCAATTTATGTTTGACCAACTTTCTGAACTTCAAAGAAAGGTATATAATTAATACAAATGAAGATTCTTTTTTATTGTTAGTTGTAGAAGATATTTTTGTACTTTCTGTTATCCAGATATCATCATGCTTGTGTTGTTTGAACAGGAAGAAATCCTACTGGAAACCAACAGAATCCTGAAAAGGAAGGTAAAAGCCTACTTAATTCAAGTGTTTGTTTTAATGAAATAATTTAAAAAATTCTGATAAAAATAGATAGATACAAGGTTTCATCCAGCATATTTCTTAGATTTGGAACACCCTATCTATGGCTCCAATGTGATATACTTTTGGTTTGGATCTACAAGAATCTTAAGTGATTTGTACTGACTATATGCCGTATGCTTGCATAATGAGCTTTATTGGTGTTTCTCATACACCATTTTTTGTGAAGAAAATTTTGCATTGGTAACAAAAATAAATGTGATTCTTTTTTTGTTGTCCTGCTTTGCCAGTTGGATGAAAGTACTTCAACACTACAATCATCATGGGAAATTGGGGAGCAAAGTATTCCATACAACCACCCACCTCCTCAGTCAGAGGGATTTTTTGAGCCTTTACAATGCAGCAGTTCTCTGCAGATTGGGTAACTTATCTTATATCTAGTTCTTCATTGGTTTTCTTTTGACAACTAAGGTTTTGATAGTCGATAGATTCTTTCCTGCTAATGTCATTTTTTTTTCAACTTTTCTTGGCACAGTTACAATCCTACTGTAACAGATCAGGCCACTGCTACACCCTCTGCACCAAGTGAATTCATCCCTGGTTGGATGCTTTGATTGTTTTAACTTTGATTAAAGACTCCATATCTTCTCATATAACTGATAAGAATAGAAAATAAGCAAATCCTATATTTTGCTGTACCTATTATTTATGAAGGATGGTTCAAGTGTGGGGCGAAGCTCCAATGTAATAATCTGGATAACATATTGAATATTAAGAATGCTAAGTTATAATATGCCAATATCATTGATATTAAATCTTTTACGGGACAACAACTCTTTCCCTTCTCTTATCTCAAATTATGACGTCTTTTTATAAAAAAAAAAAATACTAGTTACCAAATAAAAAAACAAAGGTATCTTCTGTGGCGATGGTTTGGTTGTCCTTCATTTTTTACTTTTTGGGTGGTTATGGCCGCAATGGGGTGATTGTCTTAGTCACTGCAAAAGTGCAGCAGCATTGGTCTTTGGTTGCAGTGGAAATCAACACGGAATTTATAGTTTGAAGATATGACATAGAAAATGCTAGGTATTTGTCTTTTCAACTGAAAGTAGAGTGTTGGTGTCAAATCTGAATCCAAGGCGTGAATAAAGTTGAATGTGCTTTATCAGAGATCTCGGTGGTTCAATTTGATGCGGTTAGATGAATCTGCTCAGAAAATTAATAAGTAGCATTCATCTTTATCTGGTTAACCATTAAAATACATTGACTTGAGGTTTTAGCTTTTAATTAAGCTAGTAATTAGCTGGTTAGATTGAGAAAACATGTTGTTGTGATGGTAATTAATTTTTCTGGTCCTCTTTTGGATAATTTTTGTAATGGATTTTCTTTGTTGGAGGGTTGGAAATCTCCAAGAAGAGAGTGTTGGTCTAGGCAGCTAACTTGGATTTGCTTTATTATTTTATTTTATTTTATTTTTTACATATGAGAAAATTCAAAGAAATGGGACATTTAATTTTTTTAAAAAAATAACAATCTTTAAATTTGACTTTAGTGGGTGTTTTTAGTACAAAAGTAATCATAGTATGAGATACCAGATATAGATTACAAGTATTTGTATTTGAATTATAAATTTATTGAATATTATCTTTTAAAATTGATTGGATAAATTAATTAGATTAAATTTCGGATTCAATGGACTTTTTCCTAGCATGTGGGTTGTTTTTTTTTTTTTTTTTTAACTTGAACTATATATTCTTGTATGTTTGATTTTCTTAGTAAAATCTTTCTATCTTTAAAAAAAAAAAAGAATTTAATAATCATTGTGAATATCTTAACAAGTTTTTTTTTTTCTTTTGTTATCTATTATTCATATTAAATTATTAATAATGTCCATAATCAACTTGGCATTAAGGATGATAATGGATCAGATTGAGGCCAGTTTTTGCTTACCCTTAAATCGACTTGATTTTATAAACTTAATACCCAAACTCAACCTAATATAAAAATATTATTTTTTTATCCAAACTGGATATGACTGGCATATGTTTAAACCTACAATTGATCCAATCCAAAATTAATAAAATAAAATATTTTTAATATAAAATATTATTTAATATTATTTTTAAATATAAAATATATAAATATATAAATATAAAATTAAATAAATAATAAAAAATAATATATATTTGAATAGGTTAAGATAGGACGAGTTTGCATAAAAATCCAACCCTAACTTTTTTTTTTTTTTAAATACCTAACATGATTTGACCTGAAATATGATTTTAAAAAAATTAACTTTATAAGGTCGGTTCGAGTTGGAACTTGACGGATCCGGATTGGATAGGCCAAGTCCCAAAAAAAAAAAAAAAGGGAAAAATGAATTTAATTAAGCACCCAAATGAATGCTAGATAGCTCAAAATCCCATTATTCAGGCCGCAAAAATGGTAAGAGTACTAACCTAAACTACTATTAATCAGTTTGTCAAAGAAAAGTCCCTTAGTTCTTCATGTGAATGCTACATATATGCTCATGGCTGCCAACCACTGCCCCTGAATTTAGCTTTATTTTCTCCCCATTAAGGGGAGCTTTTCCTTTTGACCAAACTTAACCCACGTTGCCAGTTTCCATACAAAAGTGAAGGAAAATTTTCATGGTGAAGTATAGCATTACTAATTTGACAAATACAAGAAAAGTGTTTTGGTGCTTGATAGGGTTTGATATACCTAATGGAGATGTGAGGTGAGTTTCATGTTTCTCTGTTCAATATTGAAATATGGATGGTGACAAAATTGGCACATGGTTGAGAAGAATTGCCATAATATTCAACCATATTAAATATTAATTTCCCATTTTGCTAACTGCTTGATTAGAGAGTTTTGGAGATAATATCTTACCATAGACAAAAGTTTTTTTTTTTAATTATTTTACCTCAAATTCTCTATTGATCAAAACAAGTAATTTGTTTAGAATGCATACTTAATAATTAACATTATGCCATTTTTTTTTTGTATATGTAAATAAATCGAGATTTGAAAAAAGAAGACAAAAGTAATATCAATGTGTAATTGTTTTCGTATTCGATCTGATTCACATATATATAAAAGTATAATCAATTCAACTCGATATGAAGGAATATATATATATATATATATATATATATATATATATATAGACACACACATACTGAATCGAGACGAATTTACCAAAATTCAACTTCAACCCAACTCAATTTAAATAAAAATTCAACCCAACTTGATTTGAAATTCAATTTTTAAAATATGTCTTTATAAAATAGATTGAATTGAAACCTAGTAGGTTTAGATAAGTTTACCATTCCTAGTACCCGTTGCTCTTACCTTAATATTGTATTGATTTGACACCTCAATTTGAAGCAAAAGACAAAGAGTAGCCAAGGGAAAAGACTTTGGGAAATCAAATTTATTGTAAATTTAGCTTTCTATTTGTTTTTTTAGTTAAGAAATGACTAATGAAAACAAATATTTGTGCCTAATATTAAGAGCTAAAAAATAAAAAAGAACAAAAATTAAACCCTCAAACTTAGTCTAACAATTGTTACTTGATCTTTAGTTTAAAAATGCAATGAATTCTTTTTTTATTCGAACATTTTATTTAATAATAAATGTTTTCATTGTTTAATTAACTTAACAAAATATGTTCAAGTGAAATGTTGGATAATAAATATATGAATAATATAGGCATGAGACAATATTAAAATAAAATTATTCATATAAATTTTGTAACTTTTTCATTTTTTGTTAAAAGTCATTTTCTCTTTTCACTACATATATAATTTATTGTCACTGCTGTTTCTATGTTAAAATACATATTTTATCATTGATTTTAATCTTATTATTATAAAAATTAATTTTATCTTTATCACTGATTTTCATTTTATCGAAATCAATCTCATTACCCTTTCAAATGGACCTTTAGTATAATTAATTCTATGATTTAACAAAATTAAAATTCCTTTAATTTTCCATTTTCCATAACCATATTTCTCATGAATTTCTTTTCGACCGGTGATAACCTATGTTGAAAACCAAAAACAGTGAATCCCAACCTTTATAGCAAAAGGCTAGCTAGCTTTCGCCATTGCCACAGCCTCACGTGCAAGTAAATTACTGCGGCAAAGTTAACAAAAAAAAAAAAAAAAAAAACTTTGCAAAAAGAAGTAAAAGAAATATCACTGGCTTCAAATTTTTAAACCCACGAGCATGAGATTCTCTTGGTTTCGCTTTATTTGTTATTTGTTGCCAATAATACGAATCTTCTGCAGCTTCAATAGGAAAGAAAAAGGAAAATGCCACTATGAAGGGTTCACCCAAAAAAAATTTTCTTGTTCTTTTTGGCAAAGCTGAAGCAAAAATTATTATTAGAGGGGGAAAGTTGATGAACGAAAACAGCTGACAACAAAGCCAGAAAAAAAGAAGATCAGCTGACAGAGAGGAGGAAAAAAACAGAGCAAAAAAGAAGATAAAGACATCAGAAGGCATGCCAAGAACATGCTTAACCAATATGTCATTTGTCAAACATATAACACCAATATGATATGAGTTTATTAATTAGCAAGTTTGAAATTTTATGGAAAATATTGAAACTCTACCTATATTTTTTTATCGAAAGTACAATTTCGAGAAAGAGAAATTTGAACCATGTATTCAGAAATACATGCGTCTATCATTAAACCAAATATTTAAATATAAATTTTAACTATAGTCCTTTTCATGCGACGTGGATATATACAAAATCAATCATATATAATTTCTAGGGTGGTTAACAATATTTTGTTGATCTTTGCTTGGGATTACATGTTTTTGAGGACAAATTTTGTTTGAACATTGGCTTTTTCTTTTGTATGGTACCAAAAAAAATTGTGCCATATTAAAACTTTTTTTTTTATTTTATTAAGAAACGATTGATGCCATTTGGGTACAAAATTTTGACACTAGTTGTAGTTTAGTAGTATATTCTACATATAAAATGCAATGAAGCTTAAAAATCAAGTTTCAAGATACTAATTATAAAGGAAGAGATGCATGTACAAAGAAATAAAAAAAAAAGACAAATTTCAACTTACTACAAATTGCCGAATTGGGGAAGTGTTACAAAACCGTATAAATTTATTGTTATGATGCCAACTTTTTGTAACTATAGCTATATATACTTGAATTTCCGTTCTTCAAGCGAAGAAAAATTTTAAATTTTAACCATTGAAGTATCCTTTTAGAATAACATCCATTTTCTTGTGTTTGCAATGTTAGAAAAAATAAATAAGAGAAAAGAAATAATAAAAAAGAATTTTGACTTTGAGGCGTAAAAAATATTTTCTTAAATGCAATTATATCTCTAGGATACAATAAAGTCCTAAACTATGCATTCAAAATTAGTATAAATGATTATACTGAAAAATTTATTTATAATGAATGAACAGATATAAATTTTTATTAAAATGTTTATGATTTTTTATATAATCATGACTTTTATGAATAATAATATATTTATTCAAATAGTTATGACAATTTGTCATATAATAATTATTTAAAATATGAAAAATTAATTTTATTTATCAATAATTAAATCTTTCTATCTAATGTGGGATGCAACACATTTTAAACTATCAACAATCCTTCACTAGTTTGGAATGATGGTGCTTA